AAAGAAAATAAAGCATATAAACATTACAGACATTCCTAGAGTGACCATGGCAACAGTATTGTTGCATGCTATTATTGTTCCCTATATTAGCTCTACATGGAAAGAACCCATCAACACATGTGTATTGGATAACCATGATACCCAATTCAACATATATAGAAAGGTGACATAACTAAGACCAGGCATAATGTATTCCTCTAGTTAGATTGTTATGGCAAATCAATACGAAGAAGATTCCATTAAAAGATATTGTATCAATAGAAATGTATTCCAGGATTCCCTGCAGATAAGTGTATACAGTAGATCACTGTATGAAACCACCCATTTGTAAAGGGGAAAAAAATATCCTTGAGGAAAACAGCATGTTTCCCTCCAGATCTTTGAATTCTTAGACTATTGATCCCACTGATGTGGATTGGTAGAAAATTATCTGGTTAGCACTAGGATATCTATTTTTGCAAATAAGCAGGAATACTGTTGTGATAATTCCATAGCTTAGTGGATAAAGCAAGCATGAAAATCTCCAGGTTTTCTTAAAAAATGTTGTACAACACTTTGAATTTGCTTTCAAAAGGGACCCTGTGCATCATCTCTAAGCTCTTTTCCGGTGCCCATCCTACACTACACTCTGTTGTAACCAAGCTGGAAAAAAGCTAAAAAATAAATAGCTTTGAGTCATGAAGGGAGATGAGTCACAAGCAGTCAGTTTACTTAGAATTTATACTTTTTTTTCTTTGTCTTCTTTATATAGGAAATTCATGCCAAGTTTTGTTCTTTTGTGTTCTTTTTATAGACAATAAGATCGTTTGGTTGATTGGTTGACTACTTCAACTTGTGCTAAATCAACAAGGGTTACAGAATTAAAATGCTTACAGTACTAGCAGCCAGACAGTTTGACACTACTGAGCAATTATGAGATCATCTGCATAGTGTCATAGCATCCATCTCTTAATGAGATAAGAGCAAAATAGTTGTCGAGGGATTAGAGTCTGAGACATGGTTGCTTTAACCTAAAAGAGCCAATAAATGCCACATTACTAGTATTCTGATTTCATATCTGATTCAATGGGTGGCAAATAATGACATCGACAGGAGGGGAGGCAAAAATATCAAGACAGTATTGGGATGCAAGCCCACAAGTCAATATCATAGGCAGGTACTAGAGCAGTGATGGCGAACCTATGACACGCGTGTCAGTGCTGACACGCGTAGCCATTTGGGGTGACAC